CTGTCTGGCGCTTGTGGTTGGCCAAGCGTACCCGCTGGCTGCTCTGGTTGCCTCTTGCAGGGCCCTGGATTAATCCTGGGGGGCTGGATTAATCCAGCCACGCCGCCACTGGTAGGCAAAGTGTACCAGCCGGTGGCCCAGGTAGCCTTGTGCGCTGCCCATGCGCGCGTAACGATAAGTTGGCCAATGCTTACAACAAGTTTTGAGGAGGGGGGGGGGGGCTCGGCTGCACGCGTGCAGCCGAGCCCACCCCAGCATGCACCGCTTGCGTGAGGCCCGGCGCGGTGCCCCAAAGTACTCCAGAGTACTCTGTGCTTGGCTGCGCGTGGTGCGGCTGCCCTGAAGGGGGCTGCTCTACGGGGCGTGCTTCATGGCTCGCGTGGCAGGCACCGCTGAAGCCTTGCAGTTGTGCGAAGGGGTCCGTTGTTTCTAGGCGCAACCTTGGCCCTGGTCTCTTCGCAAGCGCCGCTTGCATGGGGCCCGGCGGAGTGCCCCAGAGTACTCCAAAGTACTCTGCGCTGGGCTGGCTGTGCGTGCCACGACATCCCCCAGGGAGGCTGCCCTACGGGGAGTGTTTGTGGTGTTCGGCTCACGTACCGCAGCTCAGCGGGAGGCTGCTGTGCTGCGTTTGCATTGGGTTTTGCGGGAGGCTTGGTTGTTTCTAGGCACAACCTTGGCCTTGCCCTCTGTGCTGGCGCCGTCTGTGGAAGGGGCACACGGAATACCTTAGAGTATTCCAGAGGACTCCGCACCATGCTGGGCGTGGCGCGGCTACCCCGAGGGGGGCGCTGCCCTACGAGGACGAGGGGGAGGAGGAGGAGGAGGAGGAGGAAGAGGAGGAGGAGGAGGAGGAGGAGGAGGACGACGCCGACGACGATGAAGCGGAGGAGGAGGAGGCGCCAATTTGTTTTTGTTTGGTCTTTGTTGTTTCTGTGATTCTTCATATTGCCATCGTTGGTCAAGTAGCGTTCGGTGCACAGCGGTGCGCGCAACGATTGTGGTGCTGTTGTGTTTCCCTAGTATGGCTTCCGTTATTTGGCTTCGCGTTGCGGTTGAGGCCGCGCTGCGCTCTGCACAATACAAAAGAAAGAAAAATAACGAGGGGAGCAAGAAGGGAGGTGAGGAGGCAATTGGTGTGGGGAGGGGAGGGAGGGGGGAGAGCAGCGGAGGAGGAGTGGACCAGGAGGAAGAGGAGGAACATGAGGAGGAGGGGGAAAGGGGAGGAGGAGGAGGAGGAGGAGCAGCAGCAGCAGCAGCGAGGCTTCCCTGTCGCACGTAACCGTTTGTTGCATTTTTGTGTCCTTGTCATCGTCGTGGTTTTCTCCCCCGTCGTCGACGTCCTCGTCGTCTTCGCTGTCGTCTTCTATGTCGACCCCGCTCTGGGACGGCCGGCTGGCCGGCAGAGCGCGTCGCGTTTCCTGTCTGTTTGTCTGTCTGTGTGCCTTGCTTGCCTACTTCACTAGTTTGCCTATCTGTGTGTCTGTATGTCTGTGTGAGGACGACGGCGTCGACGACGACGACGACCAAGACGACGGACGACGGCGACGGCGACGTCGACGACGACGACGACCACGACGACGACGACCACGACCACGACGACGACCACGACCACGACCACGACGACGACGACCTCGGGACTTCGCCTGGACTCTGGACGCCCAACGCGGCGCCCCCCCATCCCATCTGGGGGGGTGCCGTAGGAACCCTGGGGCCAGTCCCTGCTGAACCCGCCACCCTGGATCATATCCCTGTCAGGCCTCAAAACACATTCCTGGGACAGTTTCCGACCACGACTTCGAGGCGAATCCAGCTCGATGGTGGATCGAGAGTCGAGGTTCCAGGGGCGACCGAAGCGAGGCGAGGCGAGCGCGCGATGTCGGTCCAGCGGGACCGGCCCTATGAGGGCAGCGCGGGGGGGCCGGGGCCCCTCAGAAGACGAGTCGGAGCCGGAGTCGGAGAGATGGACGCTGGAGTCGGAAAGTTGAGGGCGGGAGTCGGAGAGAAGGGCGCCGGAGTCGGAAACTTGGGAACGGGCGTCGGAAAGATGGGCGCCGGAGTCGGAAAGAATGACGCTGGAGTCGGGAAAACTGAGAGCCGGAGTCGGAGAGATGGACGCTGGAGTTGGAAAGTTGGGAACTGGGGTCGGAGAGAAGGGCGCCGGAGTCGGAGAGATGGGCGCTGGAATCGGAAAACTGGGAGCCGGAGTCGGAGAGATGGACGCTGGAGTCGGAAAGTCGGGAGCCGGAGTCGGAGAGACGGGCGCCGGAGTCGGAGAGATGGGAGCCGGAGTCGGAGAACTAGGAGCCGGAGTCGGAGAGATGGGCGCTGGAGTCGGGAAATTGGGAAACGGAGTCGGATAGCTGGTAGCCGGAGTCGGAAAATGGAGGTGACGGAAAGTTGGGAGCCGGAGTCGGTGGGATTGGAGCCGGGGTCGAAGGCGCGGCCGCCATACTCGGATAAATGTCCCAAGCTGGAGACTGGGAGTCGGAAGGTGGACGTCGGAGTGGGAAGTTGGAAGCTGGAGGTTGGTCAGGTGAGTCTGGGGGGCGACAGGTGGAGGTTGAGAGTTGGAGGTGGGAGGATTGCTTCGTTTGTATCGTCAGCGTATGTTGTAATAGCTGCGCGCGCAATCTAAGATTTTTTCGCTAGCTTTTCCCACAATGACAAATCTGATGTTACGGATAACCACTGTGCGTTTTCGTCTTTGTCTTTGCTGTCGTCCACGAGACTCTCGGCATGTAGGTAATTGACAATATCGTCGGCCCAATTCTTCCGCTGTCCACCGTGTCTTCGCTGTGCTGGGCGTGGATCGTAGAGCGAGGATCGAGGTTGAGGCTTGATGGAGGGTCGAGGGACGGGGATCGAGATTCGATCGACGACCGAGGATCGATGTTCGATCAACGATCGAGGATCCAGGTTTGAGGGGGGGGTCGAGGAACGAGGATCAAGGATCGATCGAGCCTCGAGGATCGATTGGGGATCGACGTTCGATCGAGGATCGAGGTTCGGGCCAGGATCGATGAGGGGAGAGTGGGCAAACAGATATGCTGGAGGGTCTAGTCGGGATCCCGGCGGCCATGGTCATGCTGATCAGAATGACGGGGCCTCCTTCCATCTCTCTTCGCCCCTCCCCCAGCTGTGGCGGCGAGAACGCCTCAGGAGGCCCGACAGGGCCGGAAAATGTTGCGAGCAACCCGCATCCGATCACTCGAGCCTCGGACCACGCGCCTATTGTAACATTCCAGCCCCATCCCCCTCAACTTAGTCATCATCGCCACCGTCCTCCTATTTCTCACTGGGCTCTTCTCCCCTTCCCTCCGCATTGGCCCAAAGTTCAACCTGGCGATCTACGCCGCGTCGGCGTAGGCCCCCCACGGCCCATGCGTTTTCAAGCTTTCTCACTTGCGCTGCTTTCATTGATGGCGGCCAGCTTCCCCACCGACTCCTTCAACCGCGCCGTCGATGGTGCAAGGCGATTTGTCGGCGCTTTCGGCCCGCAGTCCTCCTTCACGCTGAGGTTCGTGAGCCACGGCACAAAAAACTGGTGAGAGACTGCTAGTTTGGTCTGCGGCCGAGCTCACGCAGCAGCTGCCGGGCCCGATCCGCAAGTCTCACGGAGAGACGCCCCACCTGTTCGTCCGGCCCCACGGCGGGAACATCATCATGCTGGACGCCGACGTGGACGTCCTTCCCGACGGCCACGCGGAGTGTTTGGCAATGGCGCCCGTGGTCGTCGTGGCCACCAGCGGTTGGGAGTGCCCGAACCGCCAGCACTGGTACGTCATGGACCCAACTGGGCTGCGGGGCGGGGAAGGTCGGAACGTCACTCTCACTTTGCAACGCACGTTGGGAACAGACCCAAACTCCACTGCTGAGGGGCAGCTGGGTCGCATGCTGGGTTCTCTCAACGCCAAGCCACACAAGCAATGCACGGCGCAGCTCGTATCCGTGTCGCGGGCGTTCTTCAATGCTGCTCGCTTCTACTCCTTGACTGCCAAGCTGACGCCGCGTCTGGCCGTCGACGGGGCAGGCGCGGCGTCTGCGCAGATGCCCCGCGCGCCTGCCCAGCGCAGGGCGCCATCCTTGGCGAGCGACGCCAGCAGCATGGACTGGAAAGATTGCTGCGATTTCTGGGAGAGGCCGCCGCACGCAACCCTGCAATATTGCATGTCCGCCGTCTCTTGGCGCAAAACCACCACATGGGGAGACTTGCAAGGAGACCGTCGCCGAGAAATCCAGGGACAGGGTGCTCGGTAGGGCGCGCGCCGCGCAGGCAGCGCCGCCGCCGCCGCGGGCCCCCGCGGCCGCGGCCGCGCCTTGGCCCGCGGCCGCGCCCCGGCCAGCGGCCGGGCCCCTGCCGCGCGCAAACGTTGCGCGCTCGCCGCCCCTGGCAGCCCCCGCGCAGGCTGCCGTGGCCCCCTCGCGTTCCAGCGACTCGCCAGCGCCGCGCGCCCCCGCGCCGCTTGCGCCGCCATCGCCGCCGCCGGTGGCCGCCCCTGCGCGCGCGACTGGCCTGCTCGCAGGTTCAGGCCACGCCTCGCGGGCAGCTGCCCCCGCACCAGTGGCGCAGCCGCCGCTCGCAGCCCCCGCCCCCGAGCCACTGCGGCGCTCGGGCCTCGAGCGGGCAGCAGCTGCCCCCAACCCGCCAGGGCGCTCGGGGCACGCGCGGGGCGCGGCCGACTCCGCACCCGCTACGCCGCTGGCGCTTGCAGCCTCCGCGCCCGCGGCCGACCCGCCGCGCTTCTGGGCGACGGCGTCTCTCGTCTCGGCCGATCCGGGCGAAATCGACTCGCCCCCGCCCCCGCCAGGGAAGGCCAGCTCTCCGCGCGACGGCTTTCCGCCCCAGCGGCCCGCGGGAGACGCCGCGGCGCGCGGCGGGCCTGCGGCCGAGGCCGCCGAGCTTGATGACGCGGCGCAAGCGTGCGCCCCAGGCATGTTCAAGCGCGTGGACTGCGAGATCTGCAAGACGAAAGAGCATTTCTCCAATACCCAACTCAAGTACAAGCACAAGAAAGGCACCGAGTGCGCGGAGAAAGCTCGTCCGATAAAGGGCGTCGCGAGAGACGGTCGCAAGAGGGCGCTCAAGCCGTGCTCCTCCTGCTACGCCGAGCTGGGGAAGCAGTCCTTCACCAGGCCTCAGCGGCTGTCAAAGGACGACGAATCGCGCACCTGCAAGGGTTGCGCCGCGCAGCCATCCGCACCCCGAGAGCCCGCTGACAAAGTGGACGAGGACGTCTTTGATTCTCGCGCGGAGGCGCTACGATTCATCCTTACTTCGGCAACCACTCTGCAGTCCGTGGACTTGCGGACCAACAACGCCGCTCGGATGTTGCACGGCCGCGCTCCCGTGAAAAACATCGAGCCGGCTGGGGGCCTCGGGGTGGACGAGAAGCTTGCTCTCCTCAAGAAAGCGCACGAGGAGGACCTGCAGCACAGCGGAGGTGCCGACGGACTGCGTCGTGCCCTCGTCGATGCTATGGGGGGCTGGACGTACCTTGGCTTGGACGCCGCATTCTATGTTGCCCGGTGCGTCGCGTGCCGGCGCAGCACCTCTCGCGGCGCCCGCGTGGCTGATGCCCCGCTCCGACATCTCCCCGGTAAGCTGGAGGTGTTGAACGTTGTCTGGATGGACCTGAAGGTCTCGCGCTTGCAGCTAAAGGAGGAGGGCGAAGGCGAGTGGGGAAGGAGAAGCTAGGTGTGCTCGCGTCATATCTGACATCGTACCCCTCCCTCCCATCCCTTAGCATGGCGTAGATCCCCTCTCTACTCGCACAGTCGGATGTCGAGCAGGACAATGATCCCGAAAGGGTACGCGATGCATTGTAGAGCACGGCGTGGCATGGTTTAGAAGAGCACCGCAAAGCGTAGTATGTCACAGCATGGCGTGGCGTGGCGTAGTGAAGAATTGCATCGCAAAGCCTTGCGACGCAAAACATGGCATCGCACAGCGGCCCCGAAGATAACATTGCGTAGCATGGCGTTGAAGATCAAAACGTAGCATGGCATAGCACGACGTGGCACTTAAGCACTGCATATCACAGCTTCAGCTGAGGGCATGGCATCGCACAGCGGAACGCAACCTAGCATTGCTGCCCATGCCATGGCATGGCACGGGACATGACGCAAGCGCTGCAGCGGGAGTACGATTCGGAACGAGCGGAAGCGCGGAAATGAGGCCAGCGCTGCAGCGGGAGCACGATTCGGAACGAACGGAAGCACGGAAATGAGGCCAGCGCTGCAGCGGGAGCACGATTCGGAACGAGCGGGGCCCGAAAATGAGGCCGGCGCCTCATCGAGAGCAGCATTTTGAATAGAAAATGTGGGGGGAAACCCAATTCCAGGGAATCCTGTGTAAAAAATACGCGGGGGGGGGGGGGGCGAACGCCCCCAACCCGTCATCAGGGGGAAGGAGGAGAGTAGTATTCATATTGAATAATTGTGGAAAAGGAGGAGGAGGAGGAGGAGGGAGGAGGAGGAGCGAGGAGGAGGAGGAGGAGGTGGAGGTGGAGGAGGAGGAGGAGGAGGGAGAGGAGGAGGAGGAGGAGGAGGAGGAGGAAGGAGGAGGAGGAGGGAGGGGAGGAGGGGGAGAAGGAGGGAGAAGGGAGGGGGGAGCACGACGAGTAGTGGAAGGGGATGAGGAGGGCGAGGAGGAAAGAGAAGGATGAGGAGGAGGAAGGAGGAGGAGGAGGAGGAGGAGGAGGAGGAGGAGGAGGAGGAGGACGAGGGGGAGGAGGAGGAGAGGAGGAGGAGGAGGAGGAGGAGGAGGAGGAGGAGGAGGAGGAGGTGGAGGAGAGGGAACGGAGGGGGAGGAGGAGAGGAGGAGGAGGAGGAGGAGGAGGAGGAGGAGGAGGAGGAGGAGGAGGGGAGGAGGAGGGGGAAAGGGTGGGCGGCGTGGGGGACGACAGGGATGAGGATAAGAAAGCGGAGCGGGAGGGCGGGGAGGACGAGGAGGCAGAGGATGGGGGGGGACAGTACGAATACGAGGGAGGGGGGGATGATGGGGAGGAGGGGGGGAGGAGGAGGACGACAAGCAGAAAAAGGCGCAAGAGGATGCTGGATTTCAGCTCCATGTCAGGCCATGCCGGCCACGGACGACGGGGCCGCTTGGACATTATTGGTGCTTGTGGATTTCGCGAGCGGCAAAATGTGGACCAAGGACTTCGACGCCGCACCTGCGGAGACAGATGCCGCAAGCCTGTCCGGGGCGCAGTCGTTCTTGATGGACTGGGTCATGTCCGTGGTTAAACACGCCCCGACTGTGTGGTGGAGCGACAGCGGAGGGCAGTTCAAGTCCGAAATCAATGCAATGGTGGAAAACGCGTTCGGCACGGTCTCTGCGTTCATCCCGCCGGGGCACCCCGCCCCCAACGGCCTCACAGAGCGGATGAACGCGGTGCTGGGGCGATTGGCCAGCAGCCGGGCGAAACTGCAATCAGTGACTACAGCGCTGAACAACGCTTGCAGGGGCAGGCACTCGTGCCCCCCAGAAGTCCTGCATCGGATGCTTCTCCCCCGCCGCAGCACGCTCACTCACCAGGCGGTCCGGCAGCACATGCAGGCGCAAGAGGCCGCGGGCGCAGAGATCGATCGCGATTCTTTCCTGGCTGCGTACACCGATATGGTCGAGCAGATGAAGGTGGACGGGGCGCAAGAGCTGATTGACGACCACGCTTCCCAAGTCGGCACACTCAGGGACGCCATCTCGTGTAGGCAACTGCGGATAGACATTGGCAACCGACTGCAGTGGTCCCGGAACTCATCCAACAAGGGCATGATCTTCTACACGGGCGACCTTGTGTGGATCCGGAAAAGTCAGCTCACGCCTCCACCCCTCTGGCCATTCGTCCGCGCCCGTCTACAGATCATGTATCCCACAAAGTGCGATAAACGCGTCTACAGATAATTTATCCAGTGGGATAAACGATGGCCCATTGCATACGTTTTGTTTTATACATACTTGTCGGCACCGTGGCGCCATCGCCCCGCCCCTCGCAGGGCCGTCTCTCGTGACGTGGGGGTGCAGTGTCCAGTGTCAGGTGTCCTATAGGTCGGCGCGAAGAACATCCACGACAAGTACGAGGACGGCTCGTTCGAGATCGTGGGCGTCGCGGTGCAGCTGCTCGAGGTCAGGCGCAGAGGCGGCGATGCTGGCCAGGCTGATGGCGCGCCGAGGACCATCCATAGGGACAGCGCTCGCCTGGCCATCGTGGATATCAGCGGCTCCCAGGGTGACCCCGCAAAGCCGCGGCCGCAGACCACCGCGAGGCTGCCAACGGTGATCAAGATTCCAGACGACGGGCACTGCCTGTTCAGCGCCGTCGCCTACGGCGCGAAGGGCATCAAGGGGGAGGTGCCCAGCGACCAGCGGCTGTCCGCCACGGGGCAGGCGCACAGGAAGGAGGTGGCCGCGTGGATCGACACCCACAGGGAAGAATACCTGGACGATGTGTCTGTCGAGGACGTCCTGCGGGTCGAACTCGAAGACGACCCACACATGAAGGCGGATGCCGCCTGGCCAGAGATTTCGCAGATCATCAGGACCCCGCGGTACTTCGGGAGCGGGGTGGCCATGTAAGCGATGGAAAAGCTCTACCCGGTATCCATCACGTGCTACGAGCAGGGCGCGCGCGGGCTGCGGGTCTCGCGCCCGGCCGGCAGCGCTCTGCTAGATGGCGCCACGATCGTGCACCTGCGGTACTCGATTGAGCGACCGCATCGGCCGCGACGCTGGACAGCGCGCGCGTGGGAGAAGCGGGCCGATGGACCGACCCCTCTCTTACTATCCGCCGATGGAAACAATGCGTTGGCAGTAACATGAGGATGCGATGATCTCGAACTCACTGACGAGGGTACCTCCTGACTGCCAACATCGATTGGACCGATCGGGGCAGCAGGTGCAAGAGGTAAGATTGGAAGAGGATTCGCGCGGGTTCACGCGCAGCGAACCTGAAGATCAGCGCCGCACCGCCCGCCGACAGCCTTCATTCGACAGGCGCGCTGGCGCGCTCTGCGGCCCCCGCGGGCACAGCCCTGCAAGCGATTATGTTGCGGGGCTCGCGACCACCATTCCCTGGGCGAACCGAATTAAGGCGCCACCGCCGGCGCGCGCGCACAAGAATCGCCTGCGCCCGCGCATGAATTATGTGGGACTGGGTAAATAACCACGGCGGAGGGGGAGGAGGAGGAGGGGAAGTAGAAAAGATGATGAGTATGGAACAGAAGAGAACCTAAGAGGCGCAGGAAATGCGGCCACGGTCCGGCGCGACTCGATCCATTCGCCGGGCCAGCTTCAGGGGACCGGAAATGCCGATGTGCCGACCTCCACACGCAGGGCGGCGCCATGGCCTAGGAGGCGGGCGAGGAAGCGGGACGGTGGGTGGACGAAAAGATTCAAGTTGTTCGTGGACGCATGCGGCTGCACATGGACTGCGACAAGATCTCGACGCCACCCCCCCTGCCCCCTGCATGTCAATGTTGTCGTCGGTGAGGCACCCCCCGTCCCAGAGGACAAAATTATGCAAGTCAACATTGAAATGCGGGGGTGGGGGGGCTCCTCAGGGATCGAGTGAATCTGATTCAAATCAGCACGCTGCTTCCCAGAGCGTTCAAAAAACTTGCAATATTTGGTCCACCGACTGGAGGGGAGGATGGACGCGAGGGGGGGCCGACGGAGGATGAAGACGTGGAGGGCGCGGAGGAAGACGAGGAAGAGGAAAAGAAGGATAATCAGGAGGAGAGAAACACGCCAGCCCAACGGTTCAGGTTTTTGCCTACCTCCGTGGGCCGCTGTAAACATCTCGGGTTTGGGGGTTTCCGCCTGGGTCATGTGACTTTCGGGCCGTATCTCGAATTTTCCACCGACGGCGAAGCAACGATCCTTCGTTGACAAACCGTGGCGAAGGACCTGCCAATATTCAGTGCCGCATGTGTGAGCATCGCCTTCGGTGGAAAACCCTGCGCGGCCACGAAACGTGTGAGGGGTGTGCCAACGCGTGGGTGCGGCGGCATGCGGGCGCTGCTGGAGTTCCCTGAAAGGACCACCAAACGCATGAGAGGTCCACCAACATAAAATGGGGGAAGGGGGGAGCGGCGCTGACACAAGGGTCGTCGGTGGAGCTCCCGACGGGGCCGCGAAACGGGTGAGGCGCGTAGCCAAGTGGGGAGGGGCGCGAGCGCTGACACTGGGGCCTTCGGCGGGGCTCCCTATGTGGCCACGAGGCGTGTGAGAGGTGTGCCAAAGCGGTGGGGTGGCGCTACGCGGGCGCTGCCACTGGGGCCTTCGGTGGAGCCCCCTATGGAGCCACGAAACCAGGAAACCACTGCGTGCCAGAGTGTAGGGGGGGGAGCTGGCTTGCGAAACCGTCGCTGCTTTCGTGGGTTCCTGAAGGGTCATGCGGGTCTCGTTTTGAACAAAGCATGACAGTTTCCAAATACACTCTATCCCCCCACCGTTGTCCACGATTTCCTCCTCCTGCTCCTCCTCCTCCTCCTCCTCCTCCTCGTCCTCCTCCTCCTCCTCCTCCTCCTCCTCCTCCTCCTCATCATCATCCTGGTCGTCCTCCTCCTCCTCCTCCTCTTCCTCCTCCTCCTCCTCCTCCTCCTCCTCCTCCTCCTGCTGCGCCTCCTTCTCCTCTCCCTCTTCCCCTTCTTCCGCTTCCCTTCTCTCCTAACTCCTGCTCGTATTGCCCAGGGTGGTGCGGTGTGCCACGTGGGTCAGAAGAACCGCCGTGGGCCACTGGGGATCTCGCAGAGGAGTGTCCCACGAGACCGCTATGAGACCTCGCCGTATCTGGGAGACTGCGCCTACTAATATGTGCCAAGTGTGCGCCTAGCGTACGCCTAGCGCGCGGCTTGTGCGCGGCTAGTGCGGCTTGTGCGCGGCTAGTGCGCGGCCACCGTGCGCCGATGCTTGGCTAAGGGCAAGCTGTGAGAATGCATGGGCATACAAGAAAAAGACGAGATACAACATGAAAACATACGAGAAAACAAGGTCGTATACGATACGGCGGCGCGGTGCTAGGATGCGCCCGGCAAGCTGATATGCGACACCATTGGAATTCTTACTTGCCAGCAGCGCAGCGCACGCGCGCGCTCGGCGCGGCGAGTGCAATTTTCTACAACGGGAGCGAGGTTCACTGAAAACCCAAATTGGCGAAAACCCAAAGTCAAATTTCAAAATCAAACCGGAACAGGCGGTCATTCCAATGAAGGATATGCGAAACTGCACACTCAGCGCATCGCGCACGCGCTCGGCACAGAGCATTCAATTTTATACAAAGGGAGCGATGATAACTTGAAAACCCAAGTCGGGAAACCCAATGTTGCGGCGGCGGCCATCCCTATGTGTAAGATATGGAACTGCCCAGGCAATGCAGCGCGCGCTCTCGGCACAGCGCACGCACGCAGGCATATACAAGGGGAGCGATGTTAGCTCGAGAACACAATGCTGAAAACCCAGTGTGAAATTTCATTCTCAGGTCTCAAGTGAACCAATCATTCCAATGTGGACTATACCACCACATGGCAGCGCACGCGCGCGCGCCCGGCATACTGCATGCAGCCATATAAAATGGGAGCCGCGTTGACTCGCAACTCGAAAACCGAATGCTGAAGACCCAACGCAGATTTCATTCTCTGATCGGAGAAGGTGGCCACCACCATGTGGAAGAACCAGAACTGTATACTCCAGCTATCGCACGCGCGGTGGCCCCCCCACCACGGCACCGCGCCCTGCGCCGCGGCGCGCGGTTGATCGCGCGGAGACATGTCGACCGCGCGCGTACTTTGCAGCAATCTCAAGTAGTGGCCGCGGGGAAGGCCCCTGCATCCCGCCGCCGCACTCCGGGCAGCGCGGCACCCGCTGCGCCGCGGTCTGCGCGACGGCGAGGCGGGGCCATGGCGCGGCACCCGCTGTCACGGACCTTATGACTTCTGTTAGGGAGCCCCCGGGGGACCCCCTGGGGGCCCCGGAACGTCTCGCGGAAAACCTGCCCCGTCGGAAATCACCCAGGAAATCTCCTGGAAAATCTTCCCCGTCGAAAATCTCCGTGGAAATCTCTCGGATAATCTCCCAGAAAATCTCCCCCGTCGGAAATCCCCATGGAAATCCCCCGGAAAATCTCCTGGCAAATCTTCCCTCGCGCGGGCCATCTCGAATACATCGCTGCGGACCTCAATTATTTTGTCAGAACTCTGTGAAAAAAAACGGGGGGGCCCTTGCAAATCTCCCGGGAAGCATCAGGAAAAAACCCGGAAAACCCCAGACATAAAGCAGAAACAAAACAAGAGTTGGAGTTTTTGTTGTTCGGGTGTTTCTCGAGGGGGTTCTGAAATAAGCTTGATTTTATGTGTGGGGCCCCAGAAACACACCAAACAACACTAAACACCTGAGTTCGAAGGTTCTTCTGGGTTTCCCCCCAGGAAAACACCCGAAAAAAACATTAAAAACAAAAACAAACAACAAAAAAAGTGGGGGTTCCCGGGGGCTGACGAACTCGCCGACGTTGGCGCGGCCCTCGGCGGGCTCACCATCATCCTCCTGATGCGAGGGGGCCCAGGTGACCGTGGCCCGCCTGGTGGGCCTAGCCGCTGCCATGCGGATAGCATGTGTGCTCCGCGACGTAATCGAAATCGACGTCGATGGGCTCCAGGGCAAAAGCGAAGGCGAAAATCTCCCCGCGCGGGAGAGACTGTCGCCGACTTGGGAGGGTGGCGACAGCCCCCGACTGGAGCTCCCAGCGGCCGCCGAAGTCCATGATGCAGGCAAGCCGAGTCCAACGCCAATCCTCCGTCTGCGGGGATACATGCTGTGCTTGCCGCCCGATGCGTCGCCGAAGACAATTGCAGGGAGAGCAGGCCAGGGGCCCCCCACCAGAACAAACTCCTCCTCGCGTGACTGCGTGGGCGGCGGGATGGTGTTAGCGGCGGGGCCGATGCTGCCGAGCCACAGGGCTGGGGGCTGGGCAGTTCTCCATGCCACTGAGCGTCTCTGGGACGAGGTGTGCCGTCTTGTCGTACGCAGGCTTCCCCGCATTGCACGGGCATCGCCAGATGCGGTGCTCCAGGGACTCCTCTTCGCTGAGGCAGCGCTGGCAGAGCGGGGAACCCTGGTACCCAGCGTCGGCCTGTCGCCGGCGGGGCCACTGCCCGCCCACCGCCACCAATAAATTGAGGGCCCACTCCTGCCAGTGGCCCTGCATGGCGCAGTGTGCCAGCTCGCGCTTGATCTGGGAGACGTCGCCTCGGCCACCGAGGCCATCACCGTGAGCATGCTTGGCCGCACGCTGCCAGCGCAGCGCGTCCAGGTCCTCAGTGAGGACGTCCTGCAGCTCAGCGAACTCGTGGAAGTCCACCAGCAGCCCGCCCTGGGAGTCGGCGAGGGGCTTGCCCACTCCTCGACCCCTGCAGCGGTAGGCCTCCTCCAGGAATCTGGCCTCGAGGGGGTCCATCCCGCGTCCAGTGGCGCGGCAACGATGGCCGACACAGGCCCGTGGACCTTCCTCCACCGCCCCGACTTGGCGCGAAGGAGGCGGTGGTGCGCGTGGGGCCAGATGCGCTGGACCCTTTTGTGGAGCTCGGGCCGCGCCAGCCACTGGGCGAGCCGCTCGTGGAGCAGCTGGGTGCGGAGCTTGATGGCAGGGTCCTTGTTTTGGCACAGGATGACCATGGCGGACCCCAGACAGCATCCTGGCGCTAAGGAGGAGGAGGAGGAGGAGGAGAAAAGGAGGAGGAGGAGGTGGAGGAGGAGAAGGAGGAGGAGGAGGTTGGAGCGTCTGAGGGGACCGCGTGTCATCCCGAACTACTGCCGCTGAGGGCAGGGCCTCCTGCGGCGCTTACCGCAGAGGGGCAGCTCGACAGCTTGAAGAGCCGCGCGAGCGAGCGAGCGAGCGTCATCAACTTAAAAAGGGGGCGGCGACTCTTACCCTCTTCGTGAGCTAACCAATACAACTGGAACTAAAACGCCGTAGAATTAAAAACTTCAGGATGGGGGTGGAGAAGTCCTAGAGCCAACAAGGGGCCAACAAACGGGTGCGCTGGGAGATCGAATCTCATCTGCTGACGGGCAAGAGCGTACATCGGGGAGCAACAGCAATTGTAAGGCGTTAAAGGATCACGCTCACCTGGACATCCCCTGACACACCCTCTATATGAGTTGCGCATCCTAGACTCCGTCATCCACCCCTCATGCAAGCACTGCGCCAGGAGGGCGGGACGCGGTGCATCACCGAGGCGACGGCCGACCAGTCAATCGCCGCGGCATCAGCCGAGTAGGCCCCGAACCGGCTAGCAAGACGCGTGGCCAGACGGCAATGGAGGCGAGGGGCGGAGGGGGGCACGGGAAGAGACGAGCGGAGGAGGGAAGAGTAAAGAAAGCTTCGAGGACGCACTCACACGGCCCGCTCTTGGACCTCTCCCCCGATAGCCGTCTGCTCGCTGGGGCGAGAAGCCTCGCGTCGGGCGGCCAGCGCGAGGGTCGCGCGCAGCGCGCGCACAGCAGCGGGGCGCGGGCCACTCCCTTCACTCACAGCCGCCCGCTCGAGCGTGATGGCGAACGGCGGGGCGCGCCACCAGCTCGGCCAGGGGCAGCCGCGCAGCCATCGCACCATCGGGAGGTGCAGCCTCTCCGCCCTGCGCAAGGCCCGCACCTCGGCGGCCCACGACGGCAGCGTGAGGAGCGCCGCCCTGACGAACGCGGCCTCGCAGAGGAGCGTCGCCGACACTATGGCGGGGCCGCCGACGGTCGGCATCTCGAACCACTCCATCCCGCCAAGGAAGCTGCCTGGGAGGCGGAGCAGCCTGGCGAGGAGGCCTCGTTCCAGACGGCGCAGCGAGGAGGTCAGGCCAGGTCAGGTCAGGAAGTCCTTGAGAGCTCCTCGAGAGAAGGCTACCCGGGGGGTGAAGGACTTGAGCCCCAGCCCAGAGCCCCCCCCCCCAGGTGGGGGCAGCAAGACAAAGCCAAACATTGGCCTACACGTCCATGGTGCGCTGCACCCTTCGAAGACAACAAATACCCAGACCCCAGGCCATGAAGAGGAGGAGGAGGAGAAGGAGGAGGAGGAGGAGGAGGAGGACGTAGAGAAGAACGAGGAGGAGGTAGAGGAGGAGGTAGAGGAGGAGGAAGAGGAGGAGGTAGAGGAGGAGGAGGGGGAGGAGGAGGAAGCGGAGGAGGAGGGCTAGCCTGGACACCGGCTGCTGGAGGTCCGCATCGGAGCTCCGCCCGTGGGCGCGCCTTCGGGCCCCAACGCGGCGGGCACACATTGCCCACCATGCTGTCCTACGGGACAGGCGATGCTCCGTGCCGTCGGAACCCTCCCCAGACCCGAAGATGAAGGGTTCGACTCTCTTTTTCTCTCTCTCTCTCTCTCTCTCTCGGCGGCGAGCCTGGGGGGGAAGAGAAAACTGGCGGGCCTTCTCAGAAGGCTCGGACGTCCCCGGGCGTTCTGGTAAGTTCCCAAAACTTCTCAGAAGGCGCTAGGGCTTCTGAGAAATCCTGCCGCCTTCTGAGAAGGCCTTCTCCTTTTCATGTCCCCCACTCGCTTGCCGCCGACTCGCAGCACGCCAGAAACCTGACATGTGCGTGCGTGCAGGCCGTCATGGAACATGCTCTCCAGACAGAGCCCTTGACCACTGTCAACCTCGCTCCCCGCCCTCGATCCCTGAGGAGAAGGAGGGAAGAGGAGGAGAAGGAAGAAAAGGAGGAGAAGCAGGAAAAAAAAAGGAGGAGGACCAGTGTCAACCCAAGAATCATCAACGATGTTGGAGTATAAACCCTCCCTCCAAGCTCCCTCTTCATGGGCCCCTTGAAGGTTTCATTTCCATTGATGGAACTGAGTCGTTGGAAGACACCCGTTTGACGACGATGAAGCATGTCGAAACAACGTTCTCGGGACTCCAACTCCACGGATCAACCTGATTGTTGCGTCTCGACGATCCTGAATCGTGCCAGAACGCTGTTCCCGGGACCCTGAACACAGAGAATCAACGTAGCTGCTGCGCCCGCATAATCCTGAATCCTTCCAAAACAAAATGTTTGGCAAGTTGGCCATGGGAACCCGTGAAACTCTTGAAACGGTTGTAAGCGAACGCGCGCGGCGCTAAAGCGAGAGCCACATTTTGAAAATGAACCGCCCTCAATCCGTGAAGCTCTTGCAATTCGTTTCGAACGTGCGCCGCGCTAACGCGAGAACCACATTTCGAATGCCACCCGCCCTCAATCCGTGAAACTCTTGCAACTGTTTTAAAGGAATGCGCGCCGCGCTAAGGCGAGAGGCACATGTTGAAAAGGAACCGCCCTCAATCCGGGAAGCCCTTGCAAATGTTTAAAAAGAATGCGCGCCGCGCTAGAGCGAGAGCCACAGTTCGAAAACCACCCGCCCCCAATTCGCGAAACTCTCGCAAATGGTTGAAACGAATGCGCGCCGCGCAAAGGCGAGAACCACATATTGAAAACGGCCCGCCCTCCATATGTGAAACTGTTGTCAATTGTTTAGCTTCAGAATCAAAAATGGTGAAAGAAATCTCAGGCGAAACGCCCGGCCCGCCCTAATTACGCTACAAAGGAACCACAAGTACTTATATTATGGCTGGAGTGGTGATAGCTACTTCTACTACTGCTACTACTACCTGCTGCTACATGCTTCGCGACCGAGGTCCTGCTGCCCAACGGCGGTCCGTCTCCGCCTGGTCAGGGAACAGCTGAATGCGAGGGGGGCCTGTGGAACGAACAGAGGTAGCAAGCAGAACTGCTGGGGACCGCTGGGGAATGATGGCCTGCATGGGCGTGGACTTCATGGGCGCGCCCTGCGCGGGCGCGGCAACGCGCCCGTTGCTGGCATCGCCGACCCGCCGAACTTTCACCAACGGCGAGCCATCGCCACCCTCCGCCACCCCCGGTTGATCAGCTGGGAACCTGACCAAGCACTGCCAGAAAAAGGTTTCTGCAAGTACCTGACCAAACACTGCCTCTTTGCATCGTCGTCGCCTCGTTGAACCGGCAAATTGTTGCACCTGGCGAGGAGCGTCCCAGGCCACCAATCCCACCAGCCATCTGGGCGTAGGTGGTCTAGGACGGATCCTCTTCCACCCCTCCCTCTTCCCCCTTGGGGAAGAGTTTACCCCTCCCCCTACCCCCTCCACTGGACCTGGACGGAGGGTTCCGCGAGCGGTCGGACGGCTCTTTTGGCCCCAAGATGGCTTCAAGAGCGCGTCAGAGAGCCCAAGATGAGCTCCAAGATGGCTCAAGATAGCGCAAGATCGCTCGAGATGGCTCCTAAGATGGTTCCAAGAAGCCCAAAGACGGCCCCAAGACGGCTCCTTGTGGCCAAAGAGCTCCCCAAGGAGGCCCCGAGGAGGCCAAAATCGCTTCAAAACCTGAAGAAAATCAATGTTGTTTGCTTTCTCCCCGTTTCGTTTCCGATGGCCACCCAAGGCCTCAAGATGGCTCCAAGATGGCCCAAGAGGGCCCCGCAAGAGGCCCAAGAGAGCCCCAAGACGGCCCCAAGACCGCCCAAGAGCGCCCCACGAGCGCCCCAATAACGCCCCAAGAGGCGATGTCTGGAGCTCCTGAGGGGGGAGGCTAATTAAGGAACCCCCCTTCGTTGATCGATCTCCTCCAAGATGGCCCCAAGAGCGCCCCCACAGCCCCCAAGAGCGCCCCAAAAGCGCCCCAAGAGGCGCCCAGACGGCCCCAAGAGGCGCCCAAGAGGCCTCCAAGAGGCTCCCAAGAGACCCCCAAGAAGCCTCAAGAGGATCTCCGACATGCATTTAAAACGCTTCTGGCTCTTCGGTTCGCCGTCCTCTTCAATTTATCATCCCCCTCTTCCTCCTCCTGCCCCTCCTTTTCCTCCTTCTCCTCCCTCTGCTCCTTCTCCTCCTTTTCGTCCTCCTCGTCCTCTCCCTAGTCCACATCCTCCTCCTCATTCTCCTCCTCCTCCTCCTCCTCCTCCTCCTTCTCCTCCTCCTCCTCCTCCTCCTCCTCCTCCTCCTCCTCCTCTTCCTCCTCCTCTTCCTCCCCCTCCCCCTCCGACGAGGATTCCTTCTCCATCCTCCCCCTCTTGGGGTACGTGACAGCTTCCCCCGCCCTTTGCTATTCTGCATGCTCCCCGACTTCCCTGATCACCTCAACTCCCCTGGGCATCGTTTCTGGATGGGCTGGTGGGGATACGCGAAGCGTCAACAATTCAGAAGTTGTCGCTGGTAAGCATGAAATGCGCTGCGTAGCAGAACGTTGCCCAGCCTGACAACATATGCGCGCAAACCATCTAGGTTCACCTCGGCGCCCATCTCCAACGTTGTGTTCTTGAGCTGCTCGCGCGAAAATGGCGACGCGGTGATGGCGCATTTGGTCGCCATGACAGGGAACTTACCTTTGACGGAGAATCACTGGCGGTCGCCAGCTTTCACCTATCGAGCTGCGTGAACCGGCATGAGCCAGGATGGCTACAGCTCTTGATGATGATGACGATGATGGTGATGGACAGACAGACGGACAGAAGCCATAGACCAACGTCGTGCGGCAAAACACACAAAAAAAACGAAAACAACTGGCAAACACATCAGAGTGCGAGAATCTTATCTCGGCACTTGCGGGCTCTGTACTGGGCATGGTCTAAAAGTTGCCGGGTGGTCCCGAAAACCTTTGAACAGGCAGGGCAAGTCGTAGTCCCTGCTGGGATCACGGACGCCACAGGTTTCCGATGGCCGTGAACCCTCATCCTGTGCGTAGCCACGGCTTTGCTGCTACTGAAAAGTGTGGCACACTCCGGGCACGGAACTGTAAGGGGCTCTGTGGAATCGTCGGCAAAAGGCGCCGATCCGATCGTGACGTCCCGGGCGAGACGTTTCCACTTCCACCAGTCGGCGGCTATGAATTCTGTCCACGCGGCTGCTCCTTTTGCTGAGCTTGGGTCCCCTAGCACATCTAGGTCGCGCCGGGCTGGTGGCGGCGCGAGCCTGGGAATCGCCTGGAGGTCGGCGAGAACTCGTTGGGACCACGAGGAGGCGGAGGCCGAGTGAGGCAGGAGGAGGGCCTGCAGTGCAGGGAAGGGCTTACAAATCAAGCTGGATATGTACAACAGGCGGCGCCGCCTGAGTATATTGTCTACAGAAGGCAGCTGTAATTTCTGCAGAAACGCCAAATCGCTTAGGCGTGGTTTCCCAGGGATTGGAAAACGGCTCTCATGGGCTATCCTGCGCACGGCGCGCAAGTAAAATGTGTGCAACCACTGTATGTGAGTGCGCGAAGGCGTCCACAGCTCAGAATTGTAGAATAGCACTGAAAGGACGAGAGACTGGAAAAGTCGCAGCCTGAGCTGCACGCTCATGTGTTGCGCTGCGAAGACTTTCCGCACCAAGCTATGGTACACCGCGGATGCTTTCCGCAGGCGCGCACGTATGTCCAGGGCAGAGGACGCGACACCGGACTGCATGGATCCTAGGTGCTTGTATTCGCTCACAACGGAACACTCGATGCCTGGGATCCCAAGCACGGTCAAAGCAGGGCGCTCGCCGATCATCGCCTCTGCCTTAGCGGCCCGGGCGCCTTTGCCCCTCCACATGATGAGGGCCTCTGACTTGCCAGGCTTCCAATTCAGCTGCATGCCGTGTTTCTCCATGGTGGTGTGCGCCGCTTCGGCCACCAGGGCGACGTTGCGGTTGAGGCTCGCGTTGTCCTCGCCCACGATCAGCACGGCCTCGTCGTCGACGTACGTGACCTCCCAAACAGGCACGGTGTGCGTTGGGAAGGCGCCGGGCTGGTGGGCCCATGGCGGGCCGCTGGGCTCGCATTCCGCAGCGAATGTGAGGTTGAGCTTGTCAAGCGCTGCTCGAAGCTCTCCCAAGGCCACGCTGTACACAATATTGAAGATCAAGGCGCCGAAGCGGCAGCCTTGGCGGGATCCCCTCGTCGTCCGGATGACCCTGCCCTCTGAGCTCTGGGGAGAGTGCGAACCATGTGTCTTTGTGCAGGTTGGCCACTAAGCTGATGAGGTGTTCGGGGACAT